TTAGATAAAGAATCTTTAGGGATTTGGTGTTTTCTATGGGCAAGGTTGTTTCGCAGTGCAATTGATGTTTTGAAAAATCTCTGAAGTCAAGCTCATTGAGTACTCGCCTTATATCGTCTGACGCCTTCGCTCTATACGGAATGACGACTGTTGAGGTCCATGTTTTCCGAATGCGTTCTCGACCATACTTAATGTCAGTGTTGATTTTGTTGATGAAGTTGTTTGGGCATTTGTTTCGTTCGAGAGTCTCAGTAATTTTTGATATTTCTTCTTCCCATCCGTTAACATCAAAGAATGTGCTCGTCTAAGAATACTTGAAATAACTGATACTTTTCACTGATGGGTTTTGATGATCCGAATTCTAAATATTTACTGCATTGGGTTTCCTTCCTGTATACAGATATATATCAAAATGGATTTTTTCCGTCCTCTTAACTAGGAAGTCTAGAAATGGTAGTTCAACGACGTATTTTGAGATTTTGTATGTCGGTGAGTTGGTGAAATCTACTACTGGTCTTAATAGAACTGTGGGTTTATGTATCTTTGGTTAACCGTAAAATATTGAATGTACATTAGGTTTTGGTTTCAGTCTAAACCAGAGGGAATTTCCAATTTTGGGTTTCACTCCTTGAAGGAGTCTGTTTGTATTTAGTTTCATTTTGTTGAATTCGACAGATATCTTCCTTTCTTCAATGAGTAACTATGTTCCTTCAGATAGGTGTTCAATTGCCTTCTTTTTATAATCAGTCCTGTTCGTTATCACAGTGACGTTTCCCTTGTCTTCTAGACTTATATTGATGCTTATGTTTTTCTTCAAATTTCTTGGGGCTTCATATTCTGTTTGATGAGATTAGATGGTATGTTTCGTTAAGTTATGCATATATGTGGTATATTTTGGAGTACACCTTATGAGTCTTCATCAGTGAACTGTTATGGAGCAGGTTCGATCATACGTGCTCAGATTTTGTAAATTCTGGTTTATTAATAACACTTTGATTTAGCTTTTAACAGCAATAAATAGTGGAACGTCAGTAAAAACAGCAATATCGTCTTGTTTTTCATTCATTAGAAAACACAAAAAATCTTTATAATAACAATGAATTGCGTTTGAAACCTTGTTGTTCATTAAATGATACAGTTTTACTGTGTGATATATCTAATAAGAAATTAATGTAGACGTGAACGAAATAAATTCTGCCTACTTCAGTGATTACTTCAACCTCCAGGAGTAGGACACAAGTAAATTCTTTGCACTACTCTACTTTCAAAGGCAAGATTGAAAATTTTCAGAGTTAGCCAACCTACACAGAACTCCATTATGGGTAAATTTTTATTTTGATATAGTCTCACAGTGTTATACAGTAATATTTACTGATGACGTTTCGAGCACAATTTATTGCTCATAATCATATCAAGGTTCCATTGTTCCATAGTTCCATTGTTTTTCACTTGATTTGATTGGTAGTATTATTTTCCATATTTCAGGTATGAGTGATGTTTCATTCCTATTGCATGTGTTGGGTGTAGATTCAATGAGCAAACTGAAGCAAGATTCACAAATCATCGGATTTTTAACAGTCGATGTTTAAAAAATCATATAATTCCGAAATATTTACGTCTACGTACTCCAATTACTTCAAGTAAAATAAAATCAGCTGCCGAAAATGTCAGTAGATTATGTCTTAGAGAAGAATTACATCGAGTTACTGTGAAACTCAATAATATACGAAATGAAATTGAAAAAGTCAAACACAAACTCAAATATATGATCAATGACAAAGATTATACAATTATTCTTGAAACATCCAAAAAAGCTAGAGAATCTGCATTGAGAGAATCAAAAAACACACAAATCAAAAAATTCAACAAACTTACTGAAGAAAAGAACACAGCAAATGAAATTGGTGTCAACGCTTCATCCTCTATCGACAGAACAAATTGGGTGATCAACCTCTCATCAAAGGAACTAAGCTCTAGTGAGATAAAAGTACTTGAGAAAGGACTAAATTTCAACGTAACAGTTAATAAACTAAAACCAGAAGATGTCATTCCTAACATAGAAGTAGCACTAAGTTCAATAGATAAAACAACAGCAGAAGAGGTTCGAGCACAATGTGCATTAACCCTAAAAAATCAAAAGAAGGCAAAATCAAACTTGACAAAATCGGAAAGAGAAGCTTTAATTAATCTAAAACAGGATAAAAATATTGTCATCGCAAAAGCTGACAAAGGAAACGCTACCGTAGTTTTGATTAAATCTAACTACATCAAGAAAGTCACTGAACATATTGAAATGGGTCCATATGAGGAAATTAAAAAGCCCGTAGATACAATAATGAATAAGGTTAAAAGATCCACAGCGGAATTAGTACGCAGAATAAAGCCGTCACTGCGTGAGTCAAAATGGTTTAATTTAATGCCTAAAACTAATAATGCTAGTAGGATGTATGGTACTATTGAAATACATAAGCCAGGTTATCCCATAAGACCAATAGTAGATTTTAGAAATACCCCTACATATGAATTATCAAAACATTTAGCTCTAATATTATGCCCCATTAGAAATCGTTCAAATTCTAGACTAACTAATTCATATGAGATGAAAAATAAACTAAATGACATACAACTAGATAATGATGAAACAATGGTTAGTTTTGATATAACCAGTCTTTATACTAATATACCAGTCAATATGGCCTTAGAAGCAGTTAAAAAAGAACTAACTGCGGATACTGAACTCAATCATAGGACAAAGCTGTCCATTGAAGAAATTATTTTAGGGATTCAGCTATGCCTCACATCTACAATATTTAAATTCCAGGGCAAAATATATAGACAAACTGAAGGTGTAGCAATGGGATCACCAATATCCCCTGTCGTAGCAGATATATTTATGGATAGCTGGGAAAATATGGCACTTAATACGTTTACAGTCTATGACGTGTGCTTAACACCACAAGAACCAATAATGCTTGTTAGCTTTGAAGCCTTTGTGTTTTATTTCAGCACTTATGTCCTAATAACTTAAACAGCTGGAACTAGCAAGTGAAATGTACAAGCTTTAGGCAAAATACCGATTCAGTATGTGATGTAGCCCATTCTGTCGGAACCTATTTGACTGAAGGTCAGTTTCATCAAAACGTCTATCATGTTATTCATATTCTTTTCGACATCTATGTTATTTCAAACAATACTGGTCCCAATTTCTCAGTGAGTTTACGTATCACGATAGCTAACAATTATTGCTAAGCTCCACACACTGACACTTGCAGAAATGACTTGTTTTAAGCCGATAGGGGTCAGTCATTTCTTAGATTTGAAGAACCTGTTGTATCCACATGGGAAAGAGCGTATAACTTTCAGGAGTTGTGAGGGTGAGTCACTAATACTTAGTTTGTGAAAGCCTAACTTTGGCTGAAAAAAAATGAGCTATGTCAGTGTATTGTTCGATTGGATAAGCACACGTTTTGCAGTCTGGTTACGAAGTGATAATTTAAAAATTAGTATTATAAGGGACACTAATATAGAGAGTGCTTGTGCCCGAGGTCGAGTGCCAATATAGCTGGTACCTAATTTTTAGAATTATCAACCGTCTAGTGACGCGACTGCCTCCCTTACAAATAACTTTCCTATCCGTGCTATCACTAACAGTTCCGCCTTGTCTTTATATTCAATCATACGTGTGTGCCTAATTTTTGTCAATCGTTTAGCTTCTACATATTTCTCTCTCTTTTCATCATTTTTCCAAATTTGGTATCGATTGGCTCACTCGTTCCAATCTTCGTTTTTACCTCTTGCTGCTGCTCATCTTATACCCTTTTGCACTTCCTCAAACAAGTGGAAAGACTATCAAGTGAACGAAGGCTGTTTGATTAAAATATCCTCAGGGTCCAAAATCCGCTCACTTAGGGTGCTTCACACCCAACAAAGCATTTTTTGATTGACGATAGAAGGCTTTTCTAATAGAAACCTTTACTTGCTTAATTTCATCTTGAATGCGTCAACTGAAGACTTGATGGAAGAAATGGTACTCACAACAATATACTTCATTCTGGTTTTCTGAACGGTCTTCCTATATCTCTTGAAATGCACAAGGACTGGCTACCTGGACGCAGTATTCTAGTTTCGTGGGGAGGAAGAGAAAAGATAGGTCAAGTTCATGGTCATTTCTTAGATATAATAACACTGTGACGAGATATCCTGTCTGCCAATAGTATGATAAGGAGAAGCGATTTAAACTGTTGTGCATTTCTACTATGATAAAATGGTCAAACCAAAATTTGTACGTCTGGAATTATTTTGGTGTTATTTCATTATCTGTGAGATTGTCTTGAGACAAGGACTGGCTACCGGGACGCAGTTTTCTAGTTTCGATTTTACCAGAAATGCATATGAATTATTGAAAATTTTTCAGATTATTGAAAATTTGACAGGTGGTTCTAGTTGTAGTGCTGCGTATTCCCCATAAGGATCTAAAACTTCTAACTACCACTGCACAACAATCAGCCGAAGTTTTATAGTCATGGCTTGACATAAAACACGTTAACCCATGTGTGTGTCAACTGTTGGGAGTTGTATTTACTTCACACAAAACCTACATAATACTGATTGATTGATATAAGTAGTTGTACACCACTCACATCAACCAGTACATTTTGTTAGACTATGGTAACCAACTTCAGTAGAAAAAACAAGTACTTAGATGAAATACTTATGTGATTGTGTGGTGATTCTGTCATTAAATATCAGATGAGATCAAAGTCCATTTCAGTGTTAGCATAAAATCTACGGAGATTGAAGCAACAGAGATATTGACAAGAACAGAGAAATCATGATTATTAATTTTGTGTTGTTCTTGATTGCACTGCTGCTGAATAACTCACTTTATACAACAGCAATAGTCCCGAAGCCATCAAGCTACGAAAAATCTCCGACACTTTGCTATTTACAACGTCCACTTGACATTCGACACAGCTATTCCTCTTGCAATATATTGTCAGATGCTGTGACGAGATTTCAAAATCGTCTGGAATTGAAACATCCGCCAATATCCGAAAAAGTTGGAGTCACATGCAACATAAACACTCTGAATATCAAAATTGAATTGGGATGTGACGAAGAGCAAGGTCCGCTATGGCCATCATTAACTGCATCAACTGATGAATCATGTGAGTTGTACCATAACGACTAATTCAATCACCATTTTGCAGATAATGTGAAGATAGAAGATTCCCAAATTACCATAGACTCCAGTGAGGTTTGGGGTGCTTTACACGCCCTTGAGACCATACTTCAATTGGTGTACCAGGGAGAAGGTGGAGGGGTGAGTTTCGTTTTTACCTTTGGCTTGATTTCATTAATTCATATCATCATATAGAATGTTATATTTCAAGGATCGTTGATAGACGAACCAGAATTCGTTCACCGTGGAATGCTGATAGATACTGCGAGATACTTCTTGCCTCTTGATATCCTGAAGAAACTGATAGTAAGAAGTGCAATAGTAGGTATGATGCTTTCTCTTACCAGGATAGCATGGCCATGGTCAAGATGAATGTGTTTCATTGGCATATAACAGATGATCAATCATTTCCCTTTGTCTCAACTACTTGGCCGAAACTGTCAGAGCAGGTGAGTGAGGTGAAAATCAGTTCATTTATTGATCGAAATGTTTCTTTAAACTACAACAGGGCGCATATCATTCTCCGAGGTGCACATATGGTGAAGGAGATGTGAATGATCTCTTGGAGTATGCCCGTCAACGTGGAATTCGTGTGATTCCAGAGTTTGATACTCCAGGTAGATAATTTTAAATATATATATTTAATATGATATAATTGTCCATCATGTGAGTTCAAATGAAATAATACCATGCAAAGATTTGAATGAGTATGAACATGCTCTTGGAATGATGCTGAAAGTAGACTGTCTATCAACCAATTCAAGATAGTCATCAAAAATATAGTGCAGTTTATGCATGATTTCTTGTTTGAATGTGTGTTGAAGCAAGGAGATGATGAGAGGCGTTTACCTTTGCTGAGTTACCTAGCAGGTTTGATTTTGCTGGAAATTATAAACCCAAGGTGGTTGTGAAAAAATTCACAGTTTGTGATTCTGTTCAGTCGCCAACTATTATCTAGACAATATGCGGAATTATCTGACCAGTGAACTACGTGAATATCATTGGTCCAATGACATTATTTATCGAAATATTGTACGGATGATCTCCATTGACTGTTACAATCATCTTTTGTAGCACATACCTTGTCATGGGGGAAAGGATATCCAGACTTACTAACCAAATGTTACATTGGCCCTGAACCAAATGGAAAGTTGGGTCCATTGAATCCAGCCAATCCATCATTGTATGAGTTTTTGAAGAAATTCTTCAGAGAAATCTTCGGTAAATTTCGTGACAATTACATTCACCTCGGCGGCAATGAGGTTGACTATGAGTGCTGGTGAGTTCTGTTGATTTTACATAAGAGTAAATATAGAATCAATATTATGGCATCGCCATATTTTCATTTCAAACTGAAGGCATACTTTTATCTGTCTCAGATTAACATGCGCTGAACTAGTCTCATTTAAACAATTTTGTCATCGATTTATTTACATTTCAATAATTATTCCTTGTGAGCAACAGGAAGAACACCTCTCGATTCAAGCACTGGGAAGAGACAGGGATGGTTTTTTGCAATAAGACTTCACGGCATTTGAGTTGCCAATTTGTAGATTGACTAGTAATATGAAAACAAACACTACTTATAGTGTTGCCGTAGCGGCATTTTGAAATGTGTGCTGAAGATGTCTGATGACTTGAGTCGAAAACTGTGTGTACAGGAAACAGTGCACAATAACCTTCGAGCGTTTCTAAACCTGACTAAGTGATTTAGTGGAATATTATTTTGTATTAAAGTGTTCATTCATCTGATACTACCAGTGGATTGCAAGACATTTATTGCAATGAAACATGGTAGCTACATACCGCCAGTGAAATGTAATCTGACATTATTCCCCTTCTGATTGGTTAATATAAGGGAGTGCAGACAACTGTTCATAAGACACGACTATTTCTTCTTTTTCTTCTTCAGTAGAACACTGAATATTACAGCACTCCTCTATCTCATTCTCTTCCTTCCATTGAGTGGAATAGAAAATCCTCATCAACAATCTCTGATCAAGTTGTATTTTAACAATTAATTCATGTAGATTAACGGAGGATTTAAATTGCTGCTCTTTATTTGTAGGCAGTTTAAATTGAATCATTGACAAGAACATGGGACAAATTTATTTATTGTCTTCCTGTTCATTTTAGGCGGTCGAATCCAGAAGTAATTACATTCATGAAAGACATGGGATTCGGCGAGGATTATTACCAATTAAATAAATATCACTTTGTGAAACTTATTGAGATTGTTAAGAACATGACGAAAGACCCTGAATTACCGATCACCCCAATTGTGTACCAGGAGAGTTATCGTGATGAATGTGAAGTGAGTTTTGGAAAATATGCTTGTAATTAGATCACTACACTCGATATTCAGTGATGATTATCGGTGTCCCACTGACAGAATATTATCAGTCCTTTTTACTTGACGCTACGCAGTAATGTTGTGATTCAGTCAAATATTTTGACGAATACTTCAAAGACAGATTATTGCAAGCATTTATTTTCAAGTTATTTTAGTTCACGTCTAAAACATTTGTTACATGTTGGTCGATTTGCTGTCTAAAGATAAAATAATCCATCTATTTCATCATCATCAGGCAAACAGATCTAGGTCGCCGAATGCTGTGTTGGGGTGTTACTTCATGTATGGTGATAGGAGAATATTTTCTCTTACTACTTGTCCAGTGGAGTCTGTCATTCTGAGTGTGGCTAAGCTCTCTCACTCTCACAACCCAGTCGACTTAAATACAGCAGAACAATCCCTGTGCTTGATCGTGAAGTCATGTGGTTGTATTTGATCAATGAAGTTATTTCATGCGATTATTCACTTTGGACAGGACACAGGATTTCAGTTCGTTAATGGAAATTTTCGTTCTCTATATCTCTGTTGTGAGTGTCTGTTGATACATGGAATCACAGAACAGACACATTGGCTTGTGTCTTTGTTCCCAGTTCCAGTGGTAAACCTGTCGTTCAGCAGAGTGATCATACAGCTAGTTGATGAGTCTTGAACAGAAAGAAACTTGCATCCACATTCTCACTGTTAACCAACATGAACAGAATCAAATCAATATTTACTCAATTCAAGTTATGATCGCTACTCATTTTAAATGTTTACTAGATAATTAAAGAACTGAGGCGATTTAATTTAATTCTTTGGTTGAATAAATCTAACCTGTTGCATATTTTATGCATGTCAAATGTCTGGCAAACTACTGAAAAGAGACAAGAGAAAATTTGATATCTCAGGTAAAATGACTTTATACAGTCAACCAGTGAACGAAATGCTTCATCGGTTCGATAATGTGTCATCTCTTGTTTCCAGAATAACAATCAACCGATAATTCCTTTCAAATTAATCTTAATAATTACATCAGTTTGATGTTTATAACACTAACTTTACAAATGTTTCATTCGGTTGTAACAGATTGACCGTAAAACAATCATTCATGTCTGGAAAACTGTAGATTGGCAAAAACACGTCCACACTGCCATTCTAGATGGATATAAGGTCATAGTTTCTGGCACATGGAATCTCAATGACATACAAACTGATCTTGATTGGATGAGATATTACGCACAGAATATCAGAGATTTTGGAGGTGAGTTAATTATCGCGTAGTCTGAAACAGGTACTATTTTGAACAAGATTTATGTGTTGACGGCATTTATCTGGGTGTGTTCTAAGTTTCACTTTGCCTGTGTTATGCAACAGTTTTGAAATGAACACGGATTCACAATGATTGCAGAGAGTGCGATGTTCCTTGAGTTACAAGTGTCATTCGTTTGACTATGTACAGTATGTCGGCATATTCACAGCAAAATGTATATATACATATATAATGGAAGTCAATGGGACATTCACATTGAACTCAGGAGTCAATCATTAAGGAATTGTGTAATAATCGGGATCTAGTTGTGGATTTTGTTTTCCTTGTTATTGAATTTTCTGAAATAGTTGGTTTCATTACGAATTCATAAATACTGAACAAGTGCACTAACGAAATCAAACCCTCACTAGAGAATTGACTAAGAGAAAACCCTGTTGGACTCTGTTACACATGTCTCCAACGACATCGGAGATCACTGAGAATGCCTTCTCCGGAAAGTGTGCTAAGATTACACTATTGAAACATTTTTTGCCTCTTTATACAAAGATACAAGTACACATTTGTGCACACCTGGATGAAGATCACTGAGTATGGCCTATGCAATGGGAACATTGAAACTTTTGTTTCGCACATTATTGAGGCCATAGTTAGCAATTTATCCTTGACCTGCTACGTGAGTAGCTCTTTAGTTTGGAAAGAAGCACTGGCTAATCTGCAGGATATCTGCGTTACATTTTGAGTGTTGAACAGTAGTTCACAGAAATTCGCGATTTTTCAAAGCAGTTGACCTACAAATCTATCAGTCGCGTTCTTCAGCAAAATGTGCGGATTTGACTTTCTGCAATCCAGTAAATTTTCCTCACTGAGTTCATCGGTTCCCCGAGCAAATAACACTTTTCATTTTGTTTACAGGCTCATCTACGCAAACACAATCAGTCATTGGAGGTGAAGCTACACTGTGGAGCACACGTGTGGATGCGACGAATATAATGTCTTTAGCCTGGTGAGTACTCTTCACTTAGTCTTCCCACTATTCTCACCAAAATCATTGTTTGGTAGGCATCTCAACTGTGAATCAAAATGTTGTTTAGGACAGGAAATTTCAAAATGTTTCGGTGATGATTTTCAGTCAAAATCGATACCCCATTAACATAACAGTGAGTTTAGATGACGACATGTTGGAAATAGAATGATGACTTCATCTATAACTCACTGTTGGTGAACATCAAAAGAATATCATAAATGTGAGTGGTAATGATTCGTTGTGCTCTTTTAACTATACACCCAGTATCACCAGACAATATACCTACATGTGAACCGTTGAAAATGAAGTTCAACTTCGACTTGACTTCGCTTTCTTCGAATTGCCATATGGAATCATAATGACTGAATATCCAGACTGTGGGATTTTGTTCCCGTTAAAGTTGCATTTCCCTGTCTATGAAAGACACAGTTGGCAAGAAATTAAGTGACTTGTCTGTTCATTTTATGAAACGTTATGACATATGATTCACAGATGAGAATTTTCTGGCCAATTAATTTGCTAAAATTACATTCAATGCATTACCGACCTACTTTGAATGAGTTTAGACAAAACGCTATTGTGATGGGTTTAAATCCACCTCACTGACCACAGTTCTCTGTGTTTCTTCTCATTATTGTGATATATATGTAGGCCCAGAGGTACTGCTACAGCTGAACGACTTTGGACGAAACGCCCTGACAGTATAGATGAATTCGGAAAGAGATTGGACGAGCTTCGATGCAGAATGCGCCAGTGAGTTTCCCTCTACTTATAGTCACGGATATTCTGGTTAAATATTGTGGTTCTGTAGCCATTTGATGCAACTATGAATGGGACACCGTGATATAGTTATGTCAGTAATCTCCTTTCCTAGACATTCGGTGTCATCAAGTAAGGTGCTGGCGAATTATTCCGTAACATACTGCTTGACGAATTGATAACTGATCATATCTAAAACGTGAATGTTATCAGAGATGGTAGGCATGTCGTGGTTAAGAG